CACTGGGCCCCCTGCACTCTGTAAAGATTTGTTACTCACACTGGTTTAATAAAATGCTGATTGGCCAGAAGTCAGGCAGGAAGTATAGGTGGGGTGACCAGACTAGGGGAATTCTAGGAAAAAGAAAGGCTGAGACACACTCCTAAGTCAGACACAGAGGAAGCAAGAAAAGGTACCAAACCACGTGGCTAAACATAGATAAGAATTATGGGTTCATTTAAGTTGTAAGAGCTAGTTAATAATAAGCCTGAGCAATAGGTCAAACATTTTATAATTAATAAGCCTCTGTGTGTTTATTTGGGACTGAACAGCTCCAGGACCAGGTGGGACAGAAACTCCTGTCAATAGCCCTCTCTACTGCTGGGGATGCCAAGATGGCAGCATTATCAAGGGGGACCATCGTAAACATCAAGCCAAGGGACACAATTTCCAGTAGTGATCCTAAGCAACGGCTTGGAAGTCACAGTGTTCCATGCAGTGAGATAGGAAAGGGCTGGTGTCTGCCGCTAGAAAATTGAGATGCCTTTTCCAGTTCTCAGCTTTGACTTGGTTTCCTAACACAGTGGCTAAAGGTGTGTGTGTGTGTGTGTCTGGATCCTCTGAAGGAAGGACCCTACAGTGTGACTACTAGCACAAGCCTAAATAATGAGACTTAGGGTACCTAGCTGTGTCCTCAGGAAAGAGCGCACCCAGGCCTCAGGAATACTGTCCACACAGTTTAGGCCAACACTTACACTAGGAAATGTGACACACCTTCAATCCCCCTTGTCACTCCCAGAAGGCCCAGGTCCTTCACACAGCGGCTTCCAGAAATAGAGAGCGTGTCCTACCGTTATTTCCCTTATCTAAATGCAAACTGGGACCAAACTGGAATGAGTTTTCCTATCAACAGTTACTAGAATCCTTGCCACGTACAGGGGCTTTTATGGATCCAGTGAGAGTTCCAGAACTTACTCTTCCTTAAGATAAACCTGGAGGAGACGACACTCCTGAAGAGCTACCAGTTTCTCCTCCACCGAGGTTTAAAGGTCATCTCCATCGAATTCCATCTGACCTACCCGTGGGACCGTGCCAATAACATAAGCATCACGGTGGACAACAGTGGGCTATTCATAACAAAGCGTGGCTCCAAGAGCAGGTACCACAGGGTTATCGTAAGAGCAGAGACCATGGCCTCCAGCACTTGGTTGGTTGACCACACAGGAATCTTTTTGTCCCTCAAGAGGCACAAAAGCAGTCTGTGTGACTCACCGTCTCCTGCCACAGGGCCACAGTCACCGCCTGGCTCTGTGTCACATGAAGCTATGACTGTTAGGACATCTGTTACGGTTTGAATGTGAAATGTCACCATAGGCACCGAGTCCAAACACCTGCTCTCCAGACAATGGCACCGAGTCCAAACACCTGCTCTCCAGACAATGGCACCGAGTCCAAACACCTGCTCTCCAGACAATGGCACCGAGTCCAAACATCTGCTCTCCAGACAATGGCACCGAGTCCAAACATCTGCTCTCCAGACAATGGCACCGAGTCCAAACATCTGCTCTCCAGACAATGGCACCGAGTCCAAACATCTGCTCTCCAGACAATGGCACCGAGTCCAAACATCTGCTCTCCAGACAATGGCACTGAGTCCAAACACCTGCTCTCCAGACAATGGCACTGTTTTAGAAGGTTGGGGAACATTTTGAAAGTCAGCCCTTGCTGGAGAAGCCTGTCACTGCGGGCAGGCCTTAAGGTATAGTAAGCCAATTCTACCTCCTGACTGCTCACACAGTGTGACCACCATACCTCAGCATGCCTCCCCCCAGGATGGACTGCGGCTCCTTCAAATGTGACTCACATGGTGGGAAAAACTGACTCCCGAAAGGTGTTCTGTGATCTCCACACGTGTATAGCATGTGCACATGGACATATATGCATGCATACATATACAAATAGATGTAATAATTTTTAATAAGTGAGCCCCAGCAAAACCTTTGCTCCATAAATTGCCTTTGCCAAGTCTTTTTTTTTTTTTGTATTTTATTTATTTATTATGTATACAATATTCTGTCTGTGTGTGTCTGAAGACCAGAAGAGGGCACCAGATCTCATTACAGATGGTTGTGAGCCACCATGTGGTTGTGGGAATTGAACTCAGGACCTTTGGAAGAGCAGGCAATGCTCTTAACTGCTGAGCCATCTCTCCAGCCCCCTGTTTGCCAGGTCTTTTGTCACAGCAATAAGAAAAGTAACTTAAGCTGGGTGTGGCGGTGCACACCTTTAGCCCCAGCATTCCAGAGACAGAGGCGGGCACAGCTCTGAGAGCTCAAGGCCAGCCTGGTCTACAGAGCGAGTTCCAGGACAGGACAGCCAGGGCTACATAGAAAACCCTGCCCCAAAAAAACAAAAAAGAAAAAAAAAAAGAAAGAAAAGGAAAAAATAACTCATATAAAGACCGTCCTGTTCATCCAATACATGAACGACATCATGTTGTTTGGACCCGGGGAAGGGGGTAATTCTCAAAGGCCAAGAGCAGAGGTAGGGGATCTAAACAACACAGTCATTTCTTTTTGTCTTTTTATTTGGCGGGGGGGGGGGGGTTTGTTTTTTGAGACAAGGTTTCTCTGTATAGTCCTGGCTGTCCTGGAATACACTCTATAGACCAGGTTGGCCTCAAACTCAAAAGATCTGCCTGCCTCTGCCTCCCCAGTGAGGGACTGAAGGTGTGCGCCACCACTGCCCAGTCTCCGGTCATTTATAACCGTCACTGCCAAGGAAAATGCACTTTGCGGTCCCACAGCAATCAGTCCCTCTCAACAATGAAGGACCCCATGAAGGTCCAACCTCAACAACCAGCTTCCTCTGGACTTCCTGAGCCAGGGCACCACTGACACATGGAAGGGTAACAGAAAATGGGAGGACAGCGGGGGAGGTGGTTCTGGGGCAAAGAGAACATTTACCGCTCACAGAGGCCCCAGTTTAGCTCCCGGCGGGCGCCCACATCACACAGCCCACTGCCTGTAATTCCAGCTCTAGAGGATCCTACGCCTTCCTCTGGCCTCCTGCACACAGGGTGCATATAAACTCACAAAGACACACACATGCAAATAAATAATAAAATCTTTTCAAAACGAGGAGGCAGAAGGGAAGAGGGGAGAAGGAAGAAGAAGAAAGCAAAGGAGGAAAAGGGAAGACAGGAGCTAGCTTCTAGTAGTCAGAAAACCCTCCAATTGCCCGGAGTACAATTCAACTCTTTCTGAATGAACAGGGACTGAAATGGCATCAGGAGTGAGACATCTTTATTTCACACTTGTAGGGTGTAGTGGCATCAGTGTTTACAAAGATTACAACCACAGGAATATGACACAAAATGTAATTCCAAGCAACCATCCTGGATGTTCAGGCTCCCTCAAGTTCCCGCCCCTACCATACACATAATGCACAAATATTGGAGAATTTTTTTTAAAAAGGTAGTACGCACAGAACACCCTTAGGCCAATCCTCCTCAAGAGTCCAATAGTGACCAGTGTGGGTTTCTTATTTCAGTTATCAGCATCAAAACAAAACATTAACAGTAATAGTACAGGCATCAACGGGTAACTTGAACATCTCCTCCAAGAGTTCTAGTCCTCGGGGTAAAAATGAATAGATATCTGCATCCCTTGTGCACATTTCCTGGACTTGAACAAAGAGTAAAAGCAGCTTGCTGACATCACAGGTGAAGGGTCATTATGAAGGGTCACAACTTGGCCTCCAGGTCTTTTGGGAGAAAGCTGGGAAATTCCTATCTCCACAAGCCCTGTCAACTCACCCTAGGGGCCTGTGGAGCTCCGGGCAGGGACACCTCAGCTCCAGGTTGGAAAAACCCAGCTATCCACTAGCAACCCAGGGCTGTGGAAAGGGAGGGGAGGTGGCTGGGAGGGCTTTGCATACCTAAGGCTTCTATAGTCCCTTAAGGTCAAAGAGAAAGCCAACGGGTGATTCCAGCTGACCAGAGGCTCAGAGGCTGCTGTGGTCCGTACATCACTTCCCACGGACTGGGGAAGAGCAGCAATTGAGGTCCATAGTGACAATACCCCAAGGGACAGATTTACAGATACCTGCTCTACCCCACATCTCTATTTATTAATTTTGTTTATTCATATACGTCTTGTGTTAAAACTTCTTTTTTTCACATTTCAAAGGTCTGGGTAAAAAGACGACAGTGCTATGGGGAAGGCAGGGGACAGCAAGGGGGAGGACACCGAGAGCAACGAGCACCTTGGGTCTGGATCCTGACCTTCCTGCACTCCTGACCAGCGATCAGCTTAATCTCAGCGGGGAAATGAAGAGACAAATGTATAGTTTTAAAAAATAAAACTAGGAAGCTGGAGAAAGGGCTCAGTGAGGACCCGAGTCGGGCAACTCAAAATCATTTTTAATTCCAGCTCCAGGCCTTTGGCTTCCTCAGGCACCAGCACTCATGTGCACACGCCCACGTGTAAGACACGAAGACCTACACATGATTAGAAATAAAAACAAATCTTAAAAAAAAAAAAAGAAAAGGTTGAGTAAAGGTGCGTGGCATCGAGCTAAAAAATTCCAGAGACCCACACGGCAGGAGAGAACTACCTTCTGCAAGCTGTCCTCTGACTACCGTATCAGCACTATACACACACACATACACACACACGAACACACACTTGTATACACACACACGAACACACACTTGTATACACACACACGAACACACACTTGTATACACACACACGAACACACACATACACACACACGAACACACACTTGTATACACACACATGAAGACACACTTGTATACACACACATACACACACATGAACACACACTTGTATACACACACGTGAACACACGCGTATACACACAGACAAATTAATTTTAAAATATACATTACATAGTCGGGTGGTGGTGGCACACGCCTTTAATCCCAGCATTCGGGAGGCAGAGGCAGGTGGATCTCTGTGAGTTTGAGGCCAGCCTGGTCTACAGAGTGAGTTCCGGGACAGCCAGGGCTACACAGAGAAACCCTGTCTCGAAAAACCAAACCAAACAAAATAAACCACACGAACAAAACAAAAAAAAATTAAATAAAAATGCCCTCAATTATTTTCATCTACTTCTTTGTGCATACATGTGTAAGAGGAATGTTTCATACTTAAAGAGACATAGTACGCACAACATACATAGCACACACAACATATGGAACTCATTCAGACTTTGTTTCAAACAAAAAAAATTGTAAAAAGACAGTTCCTTGAGAAATCAGAGAAAGAACTGGGCATGGTGGTGCATGCCCTTCATTCCAGCCCTCAGGAGGTAGAGGCAGGAGGATCTCCTGGAGTTTTAGGCCAGCCAGGGATACCTATTGAGACCCTGTCTCCAAAACAAACAAACAACAACGAAACCAAAACAAACACGAGAACAGAGATGAATGAAATAATAACCAGAAAAAAAACAGACAAAAGGAAAAGTAAAATAGATATTTGGCAACAACACAATCAACAAACCCTTAGCTACACTCCAACGACTGAATTTAGAAAGGAAGGGGGACACTGCAACTGGTACCCCAGAAATAAAGATGACGGTAAGAGATGGACATGGTGGCACATGTCTGTAATCCCGAGAGTCAGGGGGCTGAGGCAGGAAGAGTGTGAAGTTCAGGGCAGCCGGCTCCTCAGTGAGACCAGTCAGGGAGGGAAGGAGGAAGTCCCACAAACACCTGTGGCCCAGGCATGCTGCAGAACCCGGAGGCATGAAGGAAGTGAAGAAGGAAATAATCTATTATGACCAGAGCAGGAGGAGAGAGAGGAGCTGAGAACAGACTAGCTGTTTCCCTCCTATAAGGAAACATCATCTCTTTAGAGAATTATTCTATTCCTATTACTGTGTGTGTGCCATGTAATCTTTGTGTTAAGTGTGGACACACACCAGGCACAACATACGTGGGGAGGTCAGACTCTGTGGAGTCAGGTCTCTCTTTCCACCACAGGGTTCCAGGGAAGGAACTGAAGTCGGGTTTTGGGGGGCTGTCACCGCTGAGCCACCTCACCGGCTCTGATCACAACTTTTCCTTTCTCTGCTGATCCTGAGACTGAGCCCAGGGCCTCACACTCGCAAGGCAAGTTCTCTACCATTGAGTTGTAATCCCACCCCCTCTGTTAACAGGAAAGTTTGGTGAAACAGAAAGTTAGAGAGGATGAAGGAGCCAGGGGTGGTGACACACGCCTGACATCCAGCTCTTGGGAGGCAGAGGCAGGAGGATAGCTGTAAGTTGAAGACCATCTGGCATACATGGCAAGACCCTGCGCATCAAAGAAAAAAACAAAGAACAGAATGGATGACATGCACACGGGCCACAAGGCGACGGTATCAACCATGAGACCCAGGGTGGCCAAAGATAACTTCATCAAGCCTAGTATAGGGCCCTGAAGAGAAAGACCCAGAGATCACGGAACCAGTAACAATAACAAGAATGGTGAGAGTCGAAGAGCTCCCCGGGGCACAAGATGTCAAAATCACTCTGGTGAAAAGCAGAACAGAGAGGGATCGAGTCGCCAGAAATGGAGAACAAAGCGACCTTCGTGAGGCTGGAGGGTGGAGGGGTGGTGCCCAGCAGGTCTGGAAGAGCTGGGGCTGAGTGGTGGCCTCTCCTAGGATCCCATCAATAATAAATCGTGGTTTTTACAAAGTCTCTCCCAGGGCACTGAAATCCTATGAGAGGTGGGAAGGGGACGAGACTGTCACAGTTTCGTGGACAAAGCTATTTCTCTCTCTCTCCCTCTCTCTTTTCTTCAAGACAGGGTCTCGTGTAGCCCAGGATGGCCTCATGCTCACTAGTAGCTTTGAACCTTCTAATTGTCCCGTCTCCACCCACTGAGTACTGGGGCTACAGGTGTATAATGTTTTTAAAAACTGATGGTCCACTGTCAATGCCTTATCTGCTGGGAGACAAGGATGCTTGAGTAGCCTCCTGCACCCCCCAGACCCTGTCACACCAGAAGGACAAGAAGATGAAGAAGACGGGGATGGACAAAGCAAGTGTGCACAGGACACTCGGCACATGATAGGAAGGAGCTCTCAGTAGGTACCACACAGACATCTGGACTCGGTTGGTGGGCAGCGTGCCACCCACTGACAGGCTCCAGGCCTGGCTGCTCCAGAGACTCTCCAGGCACACTCCTCAGCAGGCCTCTGACGAGCACTAAGTGCCCACACTTTTCTAGCAAAGCAGCCTTGAGGTAGATACAAGAATTACACCCATTTCGGGGCTGAAGAAAGCCAAGAATCTAGGAGGAACGGTCACTCACTGTCATTCATCAACTCTCCCTCATAAGCAGCAGGAAGCTCCTCTCCAGGCAGAGGGCATCTGTCTGCATCTCCTTCCAGAGGCCTCTCGGCCCTGAGTTTAAGCTACCCAGATGGTTCTGAGCACATCTTAATGGCTTTCCGCTATAAAAAGAACAAAGTCTCTCTCTTGCCCCTGGCAAAGGCTAGACCAAGAAATCTAGGCAGTGCACAAATAGCTCCCTTTGTCTCTTTTCTTTCTTTTCTTTTCTTTTTTTTAAAGATTTATTTATTATGTATACAGTGTTCTTCCTGCAGGCCAGAGGAGGGCACCAGATCTTATTATGAATGGTTGTGAACCATCATGTGGTTGCTGGGAACTTCTGGAAGAGCAGTCAGTGCTCTTAACCCCTAAGCCATCTCTCCAGACCCACTTTATTTTTCTTGTGGGTCTAGAAATCCTAGGGATGACCGTGTGCTTCTGTGGCCAAAGGCCAGGGTAGAGGGATTTGAATTCCCCCATCAGGTAAGAACTGTCATTTCGTAGCCAGGGCCTGAAGGAACCTGCAGGGGCAGAGCTGGATCACAACCATATTGGCTTCAGTTTTCCTATGGGTAGTCAAGAAACCTCAGCTTCTCACCAAAAAAAAAAAAAAAAAAAAAAAAAAAACCAGAACCAAACCTGGGGTAATGGGTGGTGGGGGTGGGGTGGTTCCAAGCTCCTGACTCATTCAACAGACGGCCTCCCCCCATCTAGCCATGAATGAACTGAAGCCAGCCTCAAATATGCAAACCACTGAGGGGAACATGGGGCTCTAGGGCCTTGTTTAATGTTTATCTGTGCTTAGAATCCTGCATTCACCATGACCAATAAAGCTACTTAACCATCAGGCCATAAAACTTTCAGAAGGACTTAGCTCCCCCTTCGTATGTATGTGTGTATGCACATGCGCGCGCGCACACACACACACTCCCTCTCTCTCTCTACCTTACATGCAGTTTTGTTTTGTAACTCAAAGTCGAGCACATTTGAGTTCCAACTAGACAAGTGCTCTGGTACCGTGCCACACTTCCAGCCTTCAAACACACCCCATCACATCCCGTGTCCCTTCCTCACCCTGAACACAGAAGCAGCCTGTCCTTAATATCCTTAGTTTCTGTATCCAAGAGGACACAGAAGCAGGATTCAGAGCCGCGGAGATCTCAAGAAATCGCAGAGTCATCACCCACCAGAACTCCCATGACTGCCACCAAGCCAAGCAATCTGAACCCCTCAAGGTCCAGACGGGAAGGGCCTTGTGTGTTCTACTGAGGTCAACAAAGGTGAACTCGATGCACAGAGGAGGGAAGGTCACCTGACCTTAACCTGGTCCCTCCCCAAACCAACTGTCTCTAGACCAAGAAACGTCAGAATCCACCCAAGTCCTAACCAGGGTTAAACCCACAGAAGACAAGTGTTCTTGTTCCTCCCTGAGTCTGAGCAAGAGGTGTCCTTTCCCACCACCCTACCCTTTGCACAAGGGCCCTTCTCTACCGCAGCTGGAAAACAAACGTGTGTTCACATTTACGTGGCCGAGTGGACTCACAGGTGAACTACCAAAAAGCAATGGATTTTCTAAAGAGTTTAACCAGCCTGAACTTGCCAGGCAGCCCCACTGCAAATCACTGATCCCAGCAGGCTGGGGCCAAAGGGTGCTGGCAAGGCTGGGCAGGAGCAGGAGATGGATGAAGGTGCTGAGCAAGGAGACAAGGCAGGGCAGGGCCGCTGGGGCAGGCTTAGGGAGCCCGCCACAGGATGAGTTCTGTGATTTCTGCCCTGCTCCCCAACCTCATCGGTATCCCATAGTAGGCTGTGCCCGGACTGACGTACACAAATGTAGCCTGGCCCACTTGGTAGAGACCAGCAAAGAAAGGGTTCAGGAGATAGGCTGCAACATTCCAGGGGAAGATCTGCCCTGCATGAGTGTGTCCGGAAAGGATCAAGTTTATATCTGGCCGTGCCTGGAGGGCCCTCTTGGCAGCCAGAGGCTGGTGAGCCAGCAAGATGGTAGCATCATCCGGGCTGCAGCCCTCCAGAGCCTTGTCAAGGTCCATGCCATGGCCCGAGTAGTGAAGGATGTCTGCCTCTATGTCATCCACGCCCGCCAAGCAGATCCACTCCGTGGTGGCCCCACGGCCGTCCTGGTCCCCGGGGGCGGAAATCTTCACGTTCTCATTATGCAGGGGCCGAACGCGCAAGGATTCCAGCAGGGCGAACCAGTTGCTGACATCTGACGTGTAGTACTCGTGATTACCCGTGACGAAATAGGTGCCAAGACGGGAACGGAGCTGGCTCAAAGGAGCAACTGCCGTCTGCAGGATGGAGGCTTCGGAATCGGAGAGGTCCCCCACAATCACTGTGATGTCTGGCTCCAGCGTGTTCACCATCCTCACAAACATCTCCATCTTGGTCCTGCCCACCGTGGGCCCCAGGTGAATGTCCGAAAGGAGCACTATCTTGAGGTTATTCAAAGAGGGGGGTAGCTGATGGATGGGCACCTCCACGGTTTTCACCACTGGGGGCTGGGCAGCGTTCAGAAGGCCAATGGTACTGAGCACAGCTGTCACTGCCACGGCCAGGGCAGGCCTGAGCACCAGGTGCCTTGTCTTGTCAAGGCTGCCCACCACCCTACCGCTGCGCCAGGCTAAGAACTGGTAGGCCTGCTCCATGGCGTTCAAGATACAAAGAAAGAAAACCATGATGATGTAAGCACCCAGGCAGGAGTAGGCTGCTAAGGAAAACACGTAAGGTTCCTCGGCCACCAAGAAGAGCATGGTGAAGAAACTGGAATGTGCCAGGGCCAGGAATGCCATGACAACCAGCTTCCAAAGCTGGAAACAGGTCGATTCCATGGCAGGGGAATGGCTGAGGTTGCTTACGGTGCTCCGCCAGATGTACAAGGAACCAATGAGCATGAGCGAGTTGACAAACAGGGCCAGCTGCAGGCGGAACAGCCAGCGCCAGGCCTTGAGCTCAAGGGCCTCAGCCAGAAAGGAGCGGGAGAGGATCATGGACACGAAGACAGTGGCTGCCGCCAGGGCAGCCTTGGAACCCAGGGACAGCTGCCTGAAGAGGGCCATTCTCTCAGCTCACGAAGAGTCCCCAGCAGCTCAGGCAGGTGGACTCTGGAAGGCAAGTGACTTCTTTAGAAAGGACAGTGGCCAATGAGAGATTTCCAGATCAGTTCCGCCTGCAACCAGGAACTGGCATCAGCTTTATGGGAAAGATCATTAAAACATTCTTGCCCCCATTCAATAAAGGACCAGAGACCACTCACACAGCTCCTGCCTGCCTCAGATCCAAGCCACTCAAATACCAGTTGCTTGCTATGCTTCCTTATTAAAATATGCCACAATCATGACAGGACACGCGATGGACAGTTTTCGTTTACTCTTTCCTTCTTTCTGTTCTTTCGTGACAGGTCTCGTGTAGGCCAAGCTGGCCTAGAAGCCATAAAGTAGCCAAGTATACCTTCAACTTCGGATCCTCCTCCTTTCACCTAACAAGTGCTGGGATTATAGGTGTGCTCTACCACAGGCAGGTGGTTTATGTGGTTCTGAGGATGGAATCGAAGGCTTCCTGCATGCTCCACAGGCATCCTACCAGCCAGGCCTCAGTTTCCATAGTCTTAACAGTGTTTTGTATTCTGAATAATAGGAGAAACATTCTAAACGATCAATTGTCAGCGTGGAGTCAAAACCACTCTCGTAACAATATTAAACCATCACTGCCTTGCCATTCTCTCTTCCAGTGAGTGCACAATAGAGTTTTGCAAAGACCACCAACATGTGAGTTCCCTGCAGACTGCAAAGTTCAACAGAAAACGCTGAGTTCTGGGGGTGGGGTGTAGCTGAGCTCTGGGGATGGGGTCCCTGAGTTCTGGAAGTGAGGGTGTAGCTGAGCTCTGGGGATGGGGTGTAGCTGAGGAGTTGGTAGAGTGAGGAGCACGAACAAAACCCTGGGTCCCATCCTCAGCACCACATAAGCAGGCATGGTGGTGCACACCTCTGTCCCCGGCACTTGAGAGGTGAGGGCAGAAGGATCCGAAGTTCAAGGCTATGTCTGACAACACACCTAGTTAGAGGCCAGCCTGGGCTTCATGAAACCCTGTCATTAAAAAAAAAGAAAGAAAAAGAAGGCAGGGACGTGTTAATAAATCACTGTCGCTTCTGTCCAGCAGGGGGCGCTCGCGGACTAGAGGCGGTAACATTTATATCTAAAGCACCGAGGGTGCTGAAAGTGTGGAAAAGTCCAATAAATCAAAGTTTTCCAAAAAAAAACCAAAACAAACAAACAAACAAACAAAAAACCAAAAGAACGGACTAACTGCTAACTACGACCCTGTCTGAAAACTCTGAGATACTTTTTTCATACAATGTATTTTGTTCAATTGATTTATGTCTTTTTAAGAAAGTACACATTTTGCAGGGCGGTGGTGGCGCACGCCTTTAATCCCAGCACTCGGGAGGCAGAGGCAGGCGGATCTCTGTGAGTTCGAGGCCAGCCTGGTCTACAAGAGCTAGTTCCAGGACAGGAACCAAAAGCTACAGAGAAACCCTGTCTGAAAAATCAAAAAAAAAAAAAAAAAAAAAAAGTACACATTTTATGGCCTTTAATGCCAGCACTCTGGGAAGCAGAGCCAGGCAGATCTCTGAGTTCGAGGTCATCCTGGTCTACAGATTGAGTTCCAGGACAGCCAGGGCTACACAAAGAAACCCTGTTTGCAAAAAAAAAAAAACAAAAACAAAAACAGAAAAAGAAAGTACACATTTTAACTCATCGTCTAGGACTAAAGTTGAGAATTAACGTTGCAAATGCAAAAAAATAAAAAAATGAAAGCTGTCGACTGTTCTTTTCCTTTGGCTCTAGTCTAACAGGTCAAGAGGGTACCTAGATTCCGATGAGACAGCAGCCTCTGCAGGGGCCTCTCCCAGGGCATCTTACCTGGCATCTCCTACTTCTCACCTGGTGATTTACAGATGACTGATGACCTCCATAAATCCTTATCTCTTCCCGCCCTTACTGATACTAAAGGAGTTCTGCCCTCTACCCTACCAGCTGCCATAAGCCTAGCCTCATTGGTTATCAAGGACATCAAGCTCGGCTGGAGCAGCAGGCACACTCAACTAGCCGTAAATGAAAGCAGTCTCAGCAACTATTTTCCAAAATCTTAAAGTTTCACCTCTGGTTTTAGATAAACGTGTGCCATTTCCAAGAATGTAATTTTTACAAGGCTCAAAGTCTACTAACTTGCACTTTAACTTACCCCCGCCCCTCGCTCCGACTCAGTCCATATGGAGGGCCCCACGCTTATTCGCTCAAAGTGCAAAGCCGCAGCCGCGTTCTACCTCGCACTGTCCCCTTCACAGGTTCGGTGCGGACCTCCCCAGGTGCGTGTCCAACGCACCCCAGCCACTCACCGCCCCCCCCCCCCCACGCCGCCGAGATCTCGCCTGAGGCAGTTTGCCTCTTCCCACCCTCCACTCTAAAAGAGGAAAGGCTTCCAGCAAGGTGATGAAACACCCCAAACTAAAAGCAGCCAGCAGGTGGCTAGCGAGAAGCGGAAAAGATAGTTGAGAAGGGAAAAAAGCAAATATTTCTGTAACCCCACTGCAGGAGCCTCTCCTGACCCCATTTTTCTCCTTCCGGAGCGCTCCGTGAAGCCCGAACTCCACAAAGATCGCACTCCGCGCCACGGCCCGCGGAGCCCTCCCGCAGCTCCCCGCGCAGCCTGGAGCCCCTCTTCCCAGAAACCGAAGCTGGAAAGCTGCGGGCGCACCTCAACCTAGCCCTCGATCGCGTTGCACAAACGGGGAAGCAAGTCCGCGCGCAGGACACAGCCGCAGCGGAACCCACGCGCGCCAGCAACCAGGAAGGACGCGCGCCCCGCCCGGCCGCCGGTCCGCCCCCTACGGGAGGCCAGGCCACTGCCTGCGCCTCGGCGGCCTGCCTGCTCCGAGGGGTGACCGAAGGTCCCCCAGATTCCCGCTTTGCAGAGCCACGGCTCTCCTCGGCCTCTGGCCCCTTCCCAGCGGCGGAGCGTCCCCGCGCGGTGGCACCGAAGACTTACATAGACACTGTGCGCAGCGCCCAGCAGCAGCGGCGCCGGTAGCAGGAGCAACGTGCACAGCGGGACCCGGAACATGACGGCGATCGGGAGGGCTCTCTCCACTCGGCCGGGGACGCCCTGGCCAGCCGCTGCACCTCCCGGGGGGCTAAGGACCCTCAGCCTGGACCCGCCCCAGGAGGACCCGCCCCCAGCTCCGCCCCGCTCCGCCCCGGGGCTCTTGGCTTGAAGTGGAGACCCAGCCTCTCCTGGCCACGTGACTCCGGAGCAGCTGTTGTTTAATCATTTCCCGCATCTGAATGGCAGCTCCCCTAAATCAGCCTTGGTTAAGCGCAAGGGTTGGTGATCCACGAGGGCCTGCAGGCTGTCCCGGCTACCAGGAAGGAGCTGGACAGGGAAAAGGTAAACAGCCAGTCCTTGGTGCTCCGGGCAGTAGAAGCCTTGCCCGGTAGACCCTAGCACGTGATCTAACCCTCACGAGGTGTGGTCCACAGGCCAGGCAACTAAAACCTGGAAAAGGCGCACTCTGGTTCCTAGCGCCGGTGCCCTGACACACACAGACTCTAGGACAGGACCCAGCTCTGAGTTTCAGTGCACGCTAAAGTTGGAGAAGCGCTGCGCTAGGTTTCTGAGGAATTCTAAGCGTGACTCAGCTAGGGTGAAGTTATTTTCAACTGCCAGCCTCAGGCTGCCTTGGATTTTAGTGGTGAGAACAGCGGCACATCCCACCGGTAACTTCTGGTCTACTGCCTCCGGTTTGCTGGAATTAGTCATGTGCCTCCTCCCCTGGTTTAAGTGAAGTTGATTTAAATGTGCAGACGTAGGATTTTCCAGCTTTAATCAGTTGTCATTTCTAACAATACTCATTTATTTTAAGCATCATCTCATTTTTATTTATCTATTTATTTTTGCAGTGCTGCTGGTGGTCACAGGTCCTCATTAATGCCAGGCAAGTACTCTACTGTTGGGCCATACCCCAAATCCCTAGTTTGTTTACTTCTTTATTCCTTTGTGTTTTTATTATTTATTTATTTATTTATCTATCTGAGACAGCTTCTCTCTATGTATCCTCTGACCTTCACATGTACACCATGGCACACACTCATGGACACACATAAATACACCCATGAACATATATACAGAAATATATACTATATACATATATGAATAAATAAATATCCTAAGTAAAGCTGGTTTTTAAATTTAAGTTTTTAAAAACAGGATCTCAAGTAGTACAGACTGTCCTCAAACTTACTACAGTTGTTGTTGTTTGGGTTGTATAAGACAGGGTCTCTGTTATGTAGCTCTGACTGCCCTGGAACTATATGGAACAGGCTGGTCTTGATTAAGGGTGTGTACCACCATGTCCACTCTCACATTCTATTTTGATAATAAATGTGCGGCTAAGTTACATGATTGACAGACGAGAGTTTAAAGTCCTCGTCATTTTTGCACCCGGATCTCTAGTTTGGCCATTACAGTTAGTTCTATCCTGGGGGTGGTATGGTGTCTCCCCCTTGTAATCATGATGCTACAGAGGCTGAGGTGGGATTGTCACAAATAAGAGGCTAGCTTGAGTTACATGTCACTTTAGATAGACATCCCTAGACCCGATGTCTCTTCTTAGTAATTTTCCACACATGAAGCCCCTCACTCACATGCTGGCTGCATGTTCAGAGTTGTATGCTCTGCTTGGGGACCAGCTAGATCACTCTCTTACTGCAATGGTGTCAAACCCCTATTTCTTCTCTTTTCTTTTTCCTTTTTTTTGGGGGGGGGTGGTTTTCGAGACAGGGTTTTTCTGTAACTTTGGAGTCTGTCCTGGAACTAGCTCTTGTAGACCAGGCTGGCCTTGAACTCACAGAGATCTGCCTGCCTCGGCCTTCTGAGTGCTGGGATTAAAGGTGTGCACCACCACCACCCAGATTCAACCCTTATTTCAACAGCTGAATAAAGTCTTCCTTTAATCTTTTTTTTTTTTTTTTTTTTTTTAAAGACAGGATTTCTCTGTGTAGCCCTGGCTGTCCTGGCTGTAGACCAGGCTGAGCTCACTCTCAGAGATCTGCCTGCCTCTTCCTCCTGAGTGCTGGGATTAAAGGCATGTGCTACCACTGCCCAGCTTCTTCAAATTTTAATGTGCAAGAATAAACTTTCCTTGGGGCCAGGGCGATGGCACAGCAGGTTAAAACTCTTGCTGTGAAAGCCAGTGGAAAGAAATGTTTCCACCCAGGTCCAGCTTGGTAGATCACTGATTTTTACTGGGGTTCATTAGAGGAGCCTGGGTGACTCAGAGTAGCTACATTAGAGAAACACACCACCCTCACATGGTTGTGGAATGTGTCACAGGGTCTTGACCCCTCAACCTTCCTCTTCTTATACACTCAGCATTCCCCAAGATCATCAGCAGACGGGCGCAGGGAGGAGTGGTGGCGAGAATCCCAGGTGAGGGTGGGTCTGGTGACCCTCTCCCCAGGTCCATGATGGTCACATTGCACCTAACTGTCACTGCCTTGCTTATTTTGTTCTATGGCTGCAAGACCCAAGTAGTGTTTGGTCCCCTCAGCAGTTTCTGCTTTCTGGTGAAAAGGAAACGGTGGCACCACAACCCTCCACCCCTTCCTCCAGGTCTACCGCCTCTTCAGTCATGTTCTGTCTTTGAGGGGTGATATATATGTATGATTCTTTCCTAAACCCTGGGACTCGACACCAAAACAATGTCTGCTTTCTTATTCCCACCAGCTCAACTGGTTATGAATCTCTAGTCACATCTACCCGTACCAGAAAAGAGTTTCCCTGGACCTCAGCTGGATGTAGACACAAACACACATCTACTCACCGAAACAACAGCCTTAGCCTCCCGCCGGTGCCTAAGACGAGCCAGCCACAGGGTTTGGTCCTGACACACAGGACCTCTGCAGTGAGTGGGGCTTCAAATCCAACCAGTCAGTAGTTGATTGTACCCGTAACTGTTATGACATTACTGCAAGTAGAATAAACATCTTGTGGTGGTGAGGGGGATCTCCAACTGAGCGGGACTAACGGCAACAATCTTTCTCAGCAGCCAGCATAGTACCTTCTGGTACTGCATATGTCGGTCATCAGAAAGGATGCCTCCAGCTCTGCCCCAGCTTGACGTCTCTGTGCCCTTCCACTAGAGGATATAGTGTTTGGGCAATAAAGATTTCTCATCCAGCTCTGGTCTGCAACCACCGACAATGGCAATGGTGTTTACTATAAGTCCTTAGGTGCCCTCCTAGCCAGCAGCTTGTAAGGTTTTAATCCTCCCGTTCCTGGGATTTTCACCTAACAGCCTGTGGCTTCCGGGAGTGCCTTTTCTCGTGTTTAAAATTACTTCATAGGTAATTTGCCTGCATGTATGTCTTCTGTGCACCACTTGTGTGTCTGTTGCCTGCAAAGGCCAGATGAAGGTGTCAGATCCCCCAGAGCTGGAATTACAGATGCTTATACCTCCATGTGGATGCTGAGACTCGAACCTTACTCTTCTGCAAGAGCAGTCAGACCTTTCAAATGCTAAGTTTTCTCCAGTCCCCTTTCTCACTTCAAAAAGAATTCCACATTGTTGCATTTATGCATTTATTTGCGCGTGCGCGCGTGTGTGTAGGTCCATACATGCCGAAACACACATGTGAAGGTCAGAGGACAACTTGCAGTAGTGAGTTCTCTTCTACCATGTAGGTCACAGGAATCAAACCCAGGTTGTCAGAACTGGCAGGACCTGACCTAGTGAGCCGTCATGCTGGCCCCACAGAAAGGAAAATACCAGCACAGGATCCCTAAAGCCAAATTCTCAGACCAAGTTCTCAAAGGAGATTCATTTGCTGCAGAGGGACAGAGGGTAGGGACAGGACATAGAGGAAAGGGGAAGGGGAGCAAGGGAAAAGGGGCAGAGGTATTTGTCCCAGAGGACAAAGGACTGCCCCTAGATAGAGAGGAGACAAGCACCCACTTTTTAAAATTTATTTTTCTCCCATAGAGAATCTCATTCTATCCCAGACAGATCTGAAAACTAATCATATGACTCGGGCTGGATTCGAACTCACGCTGATCCTCCGTACTCAGCCTCCCACATGCTGGGATTACAGACGTGAGTCACCTGATCCTCCTGTGCTCAGGCTCCCAAGTGCTGGGATTACAGGCATGAATCACCATGCCTGGCTCATTTTAAGCTCTTGTTTGTTTGGGGTTTTTGTTTGAGACAGGGTCTCACTATGTAGCTTTGGGTGGCCTGGAACTCGCAGAAATTCCCCCTGCCTCTGCCTCCTGAGTCCTGGGATTAGAGTGTGCCAACATGCCTGGATCAGTTTTTAACAACTATTGATTTTCATTGTTCTTTTTTAGATGTCTTTTCAATTATATATTTTTTACTAAGGGTAGAATCCTGAGGCCCACTCTTCTTTGTTCAAGCAAGTATAAAGTGGACTTGGGATTCAGTAGCTGAAAGGATTTTACACACACACACACACACGGTCCAAGACAGCATGAAGAGATCCCATCACATTGACTGTTTTGTCCAAAGAGCATGTTAGGTACAGTGGCTCGGGAGGGGCATGCTTATTTCGCTCTCCATTATCTGTGGTCATTCACCATGGGCTGTCTGGAGTCTCCGTTGTCCGCACTTGACATTTTAAAGGGCTTTATCTTAGATGAATAATCTCTCGCCTTGCAGGCTGTCATTTCCCCAACCACACAAGATTGGGTAAAATGGTCTAACGGTGGCATGCAGAATGTGGTCAGCGGGACACTCACCTCCAGCAACTGAGGACCACACACACC